CTATTGTTTATGCTTGTGACTTTTTTCACAATAGTAGTCTGATAGCATCATTTCCCCTATGATCAGAATAAGCATAAATTATGTAGTTGTGCTCTGGCGGTCGCATGTTTATTTTGATCCGATCAAAGTATATATAAAGAGGTTAAAGCTAGCTACAATACAAACTGATCAAAATGAGCATTCACCCTTGCATTGAGTGTGATAATGAAGTTAGCCCATGCCAACAAGCCCTACAGTGCGACGATTACGGTCGATCATATGGCCTTTCTGACCATATGATCGATTTCTGAGTAGTCAGTCTTCATGGTTTTGTTAGAAACCAAGAAAAAGTTTCTCAAGCTTACGAAATGTCCGTGAGTAAGAAACGAGTACATACCAAACGAACAACGCTTCATTTTTTTGTTAGAAACGGAGAACGCTTCCCTTTGCTTTTAGAAACGAACAACGCTTTAAGAATCGGAAACAAAGAGCGCTTCAGTGATAAAAATTTCTCAACGTTATTGCCTATTAACAGTCTGAAACTCAGATCTTTTTAGTATTTATTTCTTCGGGAGACTTGACTTTTTTTCATAACTAAAATTTCGGGCAACATGACTCAGGTTTCGGGCGACTTGACTGTAAACCCCATCTGCCAATGGCACTTTACAGTAGGTAATTTAGTGTTAACAACTGGGTTGAAAACGTAAATTAGCCACCGCAAGCTTTAGCTTTTTTACCCTTTACGGTGGCTAATTTACGTTTTCAACCCAGTTGTTAACACTAAATTACCTGCTATACTCTCCCACCGACGCAGCACCACAGTTTCTTTAGAAACTTACCCCTTTATTCATTTGCACTTTACAGTACTTTGCATGAGACTTTGGCCAAACAGTACTGAGCATTTTACATTTTTAAATGAAATTTTGTAAATGCCCCCTATTTTGGAAACAAGGCTAGAACACAGAAAAAAGTTCTGGTATACTGTACCTTTGATCATGTTTGCTACAGTTTTACATGTGACATCTAGAAGACCTTTGATATCAAGGTAGTTTGCAGCCTGCAATGAGAAACACACACTTAATTCATCAGAGTCTAACTTAGAACACCATACACACCCCACATGTTGGAGAAGGTAAAGAATCCGGTCCTACCAACACGTCGACCAATGCATTAGGAGTGTTTCGGCTGATGTGTTAGTAGTGTGTCGGCTGACGCGTTGGTAGTGTGTCAGCTGATACATTGGTAGTGTGTCAGGCAACGTGTTGACAGTGTGTTGGCCAATGCATTGGCCGACGCGTTGGTGAGATTGGATTCTTTACTTTTACCCATATGTTTTTGGAATGTTCATTGCATTAATGACCAATCAGAGCAGAGATCAGGAAATGTGAGCAACTAACAAACCACACACTACTGTGGTAAGTACTGTTGTTACTTACGATTTAGTAAGCTATGCTTAAAGAGAAAGAAACTGATGATCCCTGCTCAATTTATTTGAATGACACAAACAGAATGCACTATCATGTAGCACAATAATGGTGATTCAAAACAATAGGTTTCTTGGAATCACAGAACAGATCAAACCTGGAATACTGAATCAAAAAAGAAGACAGTCGTCAATAATAACAAAAAAACTTCTTCTTAGCTTTGGGGGTTGCCATGTAAAATGACCATCGTGCCATCTAACACGCTAACCACAATGATTACCAGTGTTTTCACTATCAGAGAGAAGGTCAACGATCTAAAATTCTAAGCCTATATTTTGATTGCCTTTCTATTCCCTCTTCACTTGTGAAGTATATCACTCCATTTCTCACCACTATTCATCAAGGGATTTCATTAAAAGCCAGTAACCAGGGTCTAACATCATCTTCTGCCAGCGAAAACCTCCCATGTTTGGTTTTAGCCTAAGGGCAGTGCTGCTCATTACACCATTGGCAACTGCTTATGGGAAAACTTATACATACCTCTGCTCTATATTTCTATTTCTTGATGATTCATATTCTCTATACTGTCCTATTTGCATTTCCTATGGTACTGAGAAGGAGAATTTGTTTGACAATCAGGGGCTTCTTAAATTGATGATCATTTCCTTTATTTTCATGAACTTTATATTTGATTCAAGGGAGACACAGAAAGGAGAAATGAGACACCACGCACTCTTAGGGTTTAGCTTTTTAACCCTTAAGAGTGACAAGCATCTAACTTCTCCTCACAAGATCACCTCTGAATCACATATTCAGGTTACAAGAATAAAGAAAATGATCATCAAGCAAAGACGCTTTTGATTGTTCAACAAATTCTCCTTGTAAGTAACTTGGAAAATGTATAGAGAACAGTATGGAGAATATGCAAACTGATGTTTGGGTGTAAAGAATTAAAGGATTAAGTTGCTCCATCTTCCACCCATTCATCTATAAGAAAGTTGTGCTTCATTTAGGAATCAAACTTACAAGAATGAGCTCAAAAAGTGTTCCTTGGTCAACTTTGAGAAACTCTTGATCCCAGGGATCAATGTCATCTGTTCTTTTTTCTTTGTTTTCATCATCATCTGGTGGGGGTGGGTCATCCTTGTGATGAGTTGCCCATTGAATAACCTTCATAAAAGCAAAAGATCTGATTATTACTTCTCCTATCAGGCTGCTACACATTTCCTTGAAAATTAGTTACAAGAATTCTCTGTTAGATCAAGACAATACCTTCTACCTGCTAAGTCTGAGTATTCTCATTATCTGTTTGCTGAATAATGTTTGGAATTATAGGAAGAAGTTTCATGTTAATCACTGCCAAGAGTTAAAGGGTTAAGGAAAAATTTGTGTCAAAATGATTTTAGACTGGTTTAATGTACAAATGTTTTCTTTTTTTTTTTGATTATCACATGATAATTACATAATGTGGAAAATAAAAACCAACCAAGTTTGATATAATTTCAAACTAAGTACCATTTTAACCTACAACATAACCACATAAGACTTGTTTGTGGCATATTGTTGGTCAAATTAGCAAGCCATTTTTTACTGTTGGTGAAATCTAAATCTGAAAGTTTGTTTGAACTGAAATCTTCCCTCTCTTTTTGAACCAAGTATATAGTAATTGTCTTCCTAACCACATTTTCTTGGTCAGTACTTTGACTTATGGCCCACCCATTCCATAAATCTGCTTAAAAACTTGGTCCATTGCTTAAAGTACAGACCACAACCTCAAATAGTTACAGGTATGCAAACACCCAGGACTCTGCTAAACAGTCAGCATTACCTTCTTAAGAATTGCCGCATTGACATTGGGAAGCGGGACAGGTTCATCATCATCCTCATCCATGCCAAGATCTGTAATGGAAGTAAATATCATGTTAACCCTTTACACCCTGACATCACTATGCATATTCTCTATACTGCTCTCTATACATTTCCCAAGGTGCTAACAAGGAGAATTTGTTTAACAATCAAGAACTGCTCAAGTTGATGATCATTTCCTCTATTCTATAATGTAAATTGGCCACAGAAAAGAGTCTGTAAAGCTCATGTTATAAGCTTTAGCCCCTCATCACAGCTAATAGAGAAATTGTGGGTTGTGTGTGGTTTTTATACAGAGAGATTGAGCTACGCCACAAGCGGGAACATGAAAACGCGAAAAAACAAGAATAAGTTAATTGAATGAAAAGCCTTTGTCATGAGGATAAAAAGTGCCTTATTGCTTTCCAAACTGCCTGGATATACGGAAAAGGTGGTATACTGCTGCATGTTGCTTAGAATGCTAAAAAGTACCGTTAATAATAATAGGTTTAAGATTGGTAAGTACAGTATTGTGCAAAAGTAACGCAAACGAACTCTGACTAATTTCCTGGCTTTTCCTGGCTTTTCGAGGAAATTTCGCTGCGAACGAAATTTCCGCGAACTTTCCGCGAACTTTCGAGGCACCTATTGTTTTAGTACGCCGAAATTACGAACGATATTTCGCTGTGGACGCTAGTGAGTTGCGAACTCAAGAGGGAAAGTTCATTCTTCTCGAAAGTTCGGTGAGAAATTTCGAGAGAAAATTCGCTCTACTTATTGCAGCAAAGTGTAGTCCACGTATTGTTGTAATGCATTGCAGAAATATTCGAAATCATTCTCATCCATTCAAGCAACTATTCTATCGCTCTTTCCTGTTGAAACCTCAGTGAATGTTTGATTGTTGATGTGATACGAACAGCCAGGTGTTCGAGTCTCAGTACAAACGCCCACGTAATCTCTTCAGGCAAGTGGAACTTGAACTAGGCGCCATTTTTTATGATTAACTTCCTCATATAACAACATATGAAATTCCCGATTTGTAGGCGAGACTCCGCGCGAGGAAGCGTGACGTAAACTATTCACAACCATGACAACGCATGGTATACCAATGCTTCGTAGACAATTCTCTCATTCATTTATCGATCTCGTAACATTCTGGTCGTCATTATGCCAAAAATATCAAACTATACTAGAACTCGAATCGAGCTCCTGTATAACCAGGGCTTCCATCCGGCTGGAATATTTAAAACCTTTAAAAGCGAAGGATTACAAGTGAGCCTTTCAGGCATCACTCGCTTGACCAAACCTGCGTCTTACTGGCTCCTGTCGTCTATTTCCTGAACGTTATATGAACGATAGATCGCACGGCAAACAATTGTGTCTATCTAGCGCAAAATTGCGAGCAGTAGGCAGTAAACCTACGCTTTTTATCGCGAACTTTCGCTGAACTTTCGTTTCGAAGCGAAAATTCGACGAAATAGCGCTTTTTGTTCAACGGAAAATTCGCACAAAAAGCCTCGAATTGTCATTCGAACTTTCGCACGAAATTTCTAAGTTCGCGAGAACAAAAAACGAAATTCGCGCATTTCGCTTGCGTTACTTTTGAACAATACCGTAGACTTAGAGCTTTATTATAAGACCCAACCATCTAGACCATTTGTACATTTGTCTTTCTAAAATGGGAAAGCACTGGGCAAATTGAGCTATCTGTGATCTGCTCTTGCAATCTTACACTCTAACATCAGTATCAATTCATCAGTTTTCTCCATACCGTTCTCTCTACATTTCTTATGGTATTGGCAAAGATAATTTTTTTAACAATCAAGAGCTTCTTTAGTTGGTGATCATTTCCTTTATTCTCATGACCTCAATGTTTGTTTTAAGGGTGACACTGACAGGAGAATATAGTTACTAATCACTCTTAGGGGTTAAAGGGTTAACGCACTTACCTTCAAGCATAGTTTTGATTGTGACTGATGCTTTAGCAATTTCAACATCTACTTCGAATATTTCTCCATCTGAGCTCTGTAGCCTTATGTTTGGCATGTTCTGGAAAGAAATTCATTAATAAAGTTAGTATTTTACTAAATTTGATATACTGGAAATTACCAAGTCTCATCTAACTGAGGAAATATCCAATAACCTGATCAAGATACCAGGATACGAACTGGCAAGACGTGACAGATCTAATGGTTTGAGAGGTGGAGAAGTGCTAATGTATTACCGTGAGAGTCTAACTGTTTATGAAGATCTCAAATGGAATATTGTCCAAGACCTGGAAGCTGTCTAGTTAAATATTACAGTATGTTCCCAATCTACTCTACTTGGCTGCTTATGTCACCCACCTAAATCTACCACCTTTTTGAACTGTATGTATGATTTGCTTGACAGGATCTTGATTAAAAGGAAAAACATTATCTTGCTGGGTGATTTCAACTCAAATTTACTGTGCGACATCTACCTCACCTACTTGGGGTTCCCCACCTCTATGTAAACAGGTCCTAAGACTCTAATTGACCTTATCATTGTTAGCCCCAACCTCCAAGCATCTCATATCTTAGCTGACTCAATTGACTTGAGAATCTCTGACCATCATCTTACATATGTCACTTTCTCTTTTAAGAAGAGAAATTCTAAGCCTTATATGTTTTCTGTTAGAAATTATAAGTCATTAGAAATTGACAAACTACAAAAGGACCTAGATGAAGCCCCATGGCATATTGTTAGTGCCGTAGAGGAGATTTAGGATAGTGTGTACATATGGGAAACTATCTTCAAAGAAATCTTGGAGACCCACATAAAACATAGGAAAGTAAAGGCCAGATCCAAATCTCTTCATTGGATTAATACAGAAAACAGAGGGGCCATGAATCAAAAGTATAAATATTTGAAAGCAGCACAAGCTAATCCAGATGACAGTATGTTATGGGATCGATACAGGATTAAAGGAAACTGCGTCAAAAGGATGCTAAGGATAGCTGAAGCCCAACATTGGATCAGTCAAATTGAAGAGTCATAGATACCCAAAGACTTCTGGAAAATAACCAATCGAATACTTGGTAAAAGTAAGAACACTAGAACTGGACCTTTACAAGACTAATGATAATGATAATTTAATAACAGATGATGAACAAAAAGTAAATTTCTAGATATTGCTAATGACCTTACTAGGAATTTCGATCCTGTCCCCTTTGGTACAGTTTGTTATATAAACAGGGTTACCCCTACTATAGATAACTTTTCCCTGGAATGGGATGTTTTTAGGGATGATATTCTTAAACTTTAACATTGTAAATCGACCATATTTCATTTCCCAAACCATTCCTTATAGTATATTAAGTCTACGATTCCTTGCATAACCTAACACCACGTGACACAATGCATGAAGCTTTCATGAATAAATACACACAAACTCCCTAATTGCAAGCGCAACATCAACCTTAAGAAACCTCACCCCAGTAGCCCAGGGTTGTAAGATTGCATGTAAACGACTAGGTGGGTTACCGCACCTACCTAGGGTCCCCCACCTCCATGTAAACAGGCCCTTATTTAAGACTTAACTCTCGATTTATTTATCTTATTTTACGTTTATTTATCTTTTATCTTAAAATATAGTAGGTCCACATCAGCTGTAAAGTTACCATTTTTTTAACCTACTTATCAAATGAAGATATGATGATGATGTTATGATACAAACCTTGCTGTTTTTTAAATGTAAATTGCTTTGTTATCATGGTAACTGAAAAAAATACAGGCCCGTACGGGATATGAACCCATGACCTCTACGATACCGGTGTAGCGCTCTAAAAACCTTTAACCTTAAACCTTACCAGTGCGAGCTTAAATTCTTTTTTTAGGCCTTATTCCAACTACTAGTGCAGTAGTGATCATAACTGCGAGGATCGCTTCTGTATTCGTTGCAAGAAGGTTGTTGGCAAGGAAAAGGATGGAAGGTGATGAAAGAGCAAGAATTTAAATTGACACAAACCCTAATACTTACTCTCGCGGAGAGTGCTTTTAAACTGCAACTCACAATAACGCTCAATTGCAAATTTTGTTAAAACTTTCTTTAATGAAGCTTAGAAACGAGGCTCAACTCAGTAGCCAGGCCCGCTGAATTTGTGACCAAGCCTTTCCTTGTTTGCTTGGGAGCACTACTGACGAGTTTCCGAGTCGGGTGGTTATCGCAAATTGTCTGCAACTGCTAATATGGCGGACTATTCCAGTAACACCATTTGCGATTTACCAAAAGTCAAGCGACGTGATTGAACTAGAAATGAACATTGTAACATAAATTACACGTGAAGAATACATTGTTGAGTTTAAATCAAGGAAATTTCGCAAAATTTTGCTTGGCTGTTTCTTTCACTCTCGCCGATCTTAAGTTTCTTGTTCAGCAGAGTTTTAGCTCAACACTGTAGCCGCTAAGACCCACGCTCGCAAAGGTAAACAAAACTTATGAATAGTATCGCCACTATAATTTCCTTGACATAGTGCTAGTGGTTGGAAAGATCCCCAAGATGAATTTGTATTCTCTTGTACCTCTAGCCGATAGGATCTCGGGAGGCTTACAAAATACTACCGGCTAAAGGTACAGCTTGCATATTTAGTCAACTTTGCTCAATTATTACAACGGTTTACTTCACATTTCACTTTTTCTGCACTCCAAATAAGTCTTACACTTCTTTTAATCACTTTTTTCAAGAATACCTATACATTTATTTATTTTTATTTGGTCCTATACTTCTAGCTGGTAGGGACTTATAAAATACTACCGGCTATAGGTACAGCTTGCATACTTAGTTGACTTTGACCAATTTTTATTATGGTTAGCTCCACATTTGACTTTTCTGCACTCCGAATTAGTCTTACACTCGTTGGAATCATTTTTTACAAGAGTAAATGTACATTTATTTTTTTTCATTTGATCTTGTACCTCTAGCTGGTGGGATCTTGAGAGGCTTAGAAAATACTACTGACCAGCTTGCATATTTAGTTGACTTTACCCAATTTTTTCTACAGTTTTCTATGAATTTTACTTTTTTGGCATTCCATTTAGTCTTACAGTACATTAGAATGACTTTTTTATGAATATCTTCTTGTTTCTTGGTTGTGTACCTCTAGCTGGTAGGACCTTAGGTGGCTTAGAAAATACTACAGGCTACAGGTACTTTGTGCATTCAAGGTGAATTTAGCTCATTTCATTTACTTCTTGATTTATGGAAAAACCCTTCTACATTCCATGTTAGTCTCATACTGTTTTGGAGTCACTCCATAGGTATATTTTTATGCTTTGCAGTCTTGTTCATCTCGTTAGTAGGATCTTGGATTACTAAGAAAACACTACCAGCCAGAGGGGCAGCTTATATAAAATAAAAATGAAATCATTAACACTGTTATGTTTTAAATTAATTTCAAGGTAATAAAATTTAAAATAGCCTGATTTGTATTTTCTTTGGTTGTGGATTTATTTCAATACAAATATAACAAGGTTTAGATGAATTTGACTTGAAATTCATTTTAGACTTGAACATGTCCACCAGATTTACTGAAGTTTTTCATGTAATACTCTGCCTCAGTTTAAGTGGAATTTCTTAGAAAGGAACAGTCTCTATTTTCATGATGTTTGTGTTTGATTAGAAGTATTGTTTACAAGGCCAACCATTGTCTGAAATACTAAAATCAAGTCATCTTTAGGTAGTCATAGGATAACATGATTTTAATTCACCAAATTGATATTTTCCCTTTGTATTTTTAATGATATTTAACAGTTTGTATGACTGTATGAAAACCTTAAGGCAAGTTATTCTTGAAAATATAGAATGGTTATCTACTATATATACAGGATTTATACAATTATCGTAAGAGATTAACCTGTGCCTGTGTTATTTATTGTATTTTTAATAAAAATTGCAACTATTAAAAATACGTCAAACCATTCTTATTGAACACCAACCAGAAACCCTTTGCTTATTGCTAAATAATGCCTGCTTTAGTTTCAGCTGATTCCTCATAAAGAGTCATTTGTTGCTCATAGCTTGTGTGCTGTGCTATCAAATAAGCAGTGGTAGGTACACAACCAAAGAAAAGAAGATATTCTTGAAAAAAATGATTCCAATGTAGGATAAGACTAAAATGGAATGCCAAAAAGTAAAATGCAAAGCAGATTGTAATAAAAATTGGGCAAAGCTAATTAAATATGCAAGCTATACTTCAAGTATTTTTGAAGCCTACTAAGATCCTACTAGTTAGAGGTTATAGACTAAATAAGAGAGAACAAAATGTAAATGTGTTCATGAAAAAAGTGATTCCAAGGAGTGTAAGACTAATTTGGAGCATAGAAAAGTAAAATGAGCAAACCACAAAAGTAAAATGGGAAAAGCTGACTAGATATACAAGCTGTATCTCTAGGTGGTAGTATTTTCTCAGCCTCCTGAGATCCTGCCGGCTAGAGGTACAAGACAATAGAAATTTCATCTTATGGCTCTTACCAACCAGTAGCACTACAACAGGATCATTAAAGTGGCGATACTATTCATAAGTTTTGTTTACCTTTGCAAGCATAGGTCTTAGAGGTTACAGTGTTAAGCTAAGACTGTTGAGCAAGAAACTCGCCCTCCTGAGATCCTACTGGCTAGAGGTACAAGACCAAATAAGAGAAAAAAAATTCAAATGTATTCTTTAAAAAAAATGATTCCTAGGAGTGTAAGACTACAACTTTGAGTGCAGAAAAGCAAAATGTGGAGCAAAGCATGCAAGTTGTACCTCTAGCCAGTAGCATTTTAGAAGCCTCCTAAGATCCTACCAGCTAAAGGTTCAAGACCAAATAAAAATATATAAATGTCTACATATTCCTGAAAAAAGTGATTCAAAGGAGTGTAAGACTAAAATGCGAAGCAAACTATGGTAACAATAGGGCAAAGTTGACTAGATATGCAAGCTGTACCTCTAGCCGGTAGCTTTTTATAAGCCTCCTGAGATCCTGCCGGCGCGAGGTAGGAGAGCTGGTAATTAGAGATGTTTCGATGATTCTTACACGACATCTAGCTTTAGACGTAAGCAAAACAAACTGAGGTTTGCAAATTTCGCGAAGAGTTTATGAAATTAATGCAATGAGAAATATTCCACGTGGAAAGAAGTGACAGGTTGCTTTTGAAATAAGAGCATATCTTGATTTAGAGTCTGTCTTTCATGGATCGCATTCTTGAGCCATTCAGAAATATAATTTCCTTCTTGTTTGGGAGAGGGCTGACTTCGAATCCTACAAAGGTGAAATTGTTTTTCGCATGTTTATGAGATCGAGATATTTATTTACTTTCCCTCTCTGATCGATAACTACAAGACGTTGTTTATTATGCGGTTGTATCTTTAGTGCTCGTCTACCAAGTGGAACCACGGCTTTTTTCGGAATAGTGCGAAGCTGTTTTTTTCATTTGATTTCTAGATATCTTTATCTGATGTTGACCTCACATCTGAACAAGAAGAAGATGTGGGTAGAATTTTGGAGGCTCACAAAAATCCTCTCAAAGTTCAGCAATTTATTCTAGAAGGTGTGCCAAACGATTAATATTAATTAATAACATTATTGCACATTATTCTTATGAAAATTGAAAATACCGAAGAAACAGGATATACTGTTACTCCCCTAAAATTAGTTCCCATATGCTTGTCTATCACAAAGTAGTGCTCAGCATTTCATGTGGCTTTCCTTACAGTTCATTCCAGACAGGTCATCTGGGTTATCATTATCATTGTCAACATCATTATGGCCACCATCATCATTACCACAATAGACCCAATTTTTGATTCCCCCTTATTGTCTGCTTAATTTTAATAAGCAATATTTCTTGCTTGATTACTTACTATTGATGTGAATTGATTGAATATAATGTTGTTTTTCTTTCCCAAGGTAAACAAATTTGTTCAATTCCAATTCAGCTTTGCTCCTTCTCAAATCTCCAAAAAATCATATTGCGTGGGAATCAATTGACTGATATTTCTTGGTCGGTAATTTACCTCAAACAACTCAAAGAGCTTGATTTATCATTTAATGCCTTGGTAAGTACCCATCTAAAGAAATTATTTTGATTTATTTATGGGCTATTCATTAGTTGCAGTAGAAGCTAATATTAACAATTAATGTTGATGAGACTAAGCTTTATCGCTGAGCTCCAAAAGGGAAACAAAAAAATGCATTAATGTCAGTATCTGAGCAAGTGTATCGCACCTACCCCTCCCCTAAGCCATTATCAAGCCTAACTTTTTATCACTTGAGGGGAGGGGTAGGTATGCAGTTGCTTAGATACTGAGGTTGATCCAAAAAATTGTTAGTGACTGTGATATGTTAAAGTGCTTATTAGCTGTGTTAGGTCAGGCTGGACAGGAAGGCATTTCACTCATAGTTATACTGTGTGAATGGTATTGCTCATGGTTCATACTTCATAACCTCAAGCCAAATATTTTTTCAGTCTGGCCCTCCTACTTGGTCAGTAAGTAAATCATCACCCACCAGCTGGGTAATGTATTCAACAAACTTGCGTGTTTTTTATTTCTGAGAGTCAAAGGGCTTTTGTTCCTCTTTCTTCTCTAGGAAAGGTTTCCAAGAATCATTGCATATATTCCAACCCTGGAAGTTCTTTCAGTCAGGTACTAACAATGCAATTCTATTTTAGTCCACACATTTTTTCTGTTCTCAAAAAAGTAATCTATTTGAGAATATTGCTTTAACATGGTTGTTGTTTGAAAGGTTTTAAAAAAACCAAAGGGCATGAAGTGCAAGAAATCGCAGATAAGCAAGACATTAGTGGTATTAGCTTTGAGTCTGATTGGTTAAGGAGGTGGCCAATCACATAGCGAGTTGGAGTACAACCAAAGCAGCCTCAGTTTACTTTTGACACTCAATTGATAATTGCCTCAAACATGTAGAAAAAAATAGTTATGTATCATCATAGTCATACAAATACCTGCATAAAGAAGGAGATATCCAGGAGGTTTGAATTACTCTTCCATAAGCAGCTGCTGGTAGTGTAATAGGCAGCTTTACCCAAAGAGGGGATGTAAGGCA